GTTGGAGAAAAATGGTTGAATGAGAAATTGCCTCATAAATGTGTATATAACTCACACATTTAAGGCTCATCAGTTTTACAAAATTGATTGGGCAGTTTTGCTAGCATTAGTTGGTAGCCTTGATGGTTAGAGGCTCCTCCCCTCTTTCCCATGGTGTATAAAAAGAGGCCCTATTCCTTGAAAAGAGATATAGAATTTTTCCTTGGCATCCATACCCTGTCAGTCTACTTCTCCTATAATTTTCTTCCTGAGAGAGAGTGCGGCCGTTGTCAGTTCGCTAAGCTAATCAGAAGGTGCTTCTGTTATAGCTGGTAAAAACCGTCGTATCCTGGGAAGTAGACGCCGGCGTACCTCCAGCACCCAACGGTGAGGTGACGAATCTATTTTAAGGAGACTGTGATATCAAACAGGCTTCGATTTGCTTCCTTTAACCATTTTATATTTTATTTGTATTTTATTCAGTATGTTATATTTTCTGGGATTGAAGGTTTGTTTTGTTCATCTCATAATTTTGCGATATACAATGTGAAATTATGTAATGTGAGTAGTTTTTCCCAACACAATGTTAGTGAAATTTCCCCTTATATTTTTGACATAATTACATTGATATCCCTCGATGATTTAATTTACTTAATAAGACCATTTTTCATCAACAATTTATTAGTCGTAAGAATGAAAATGATGTTTGCATATCTTTTTCTTCTAAGAATGATGTTTATCTTTATTTATCTACTCAATATCTACATTAATTTGAGTTAGTTTAGCCTTATTAAAAGTAACTCAGTATAATTGTGTAAAAAATGTGGGACTAATTGTCTTTTTCTCAAATCTCAATGAAGATGATTGTAATTTTTTTTTTTAAAACAGAGAAGAGGGGAAGGGGGGGGAGAGGGAAGGAGGGAGGAGGTTATATCAAATCAGCAAGGGTAATATTTTAGGCAAAATAAGGAAAAAGTACATTTTTGTAAAAAAATTTCAAATTGATGATGAACATAACAAATTTTAATAATTAAAATTATAAATTTTTTCATGTATTAATAATTATTTTTGAAAGACTAAATTGATTTGTAATTCCCCTACAAAATAAAATGCTTTCTATGTCATCAACTCTCATATTCTATAGATTTGACTTGTGGTCTCGTTGGAGTATGTGACAGGAGGGAACACATCAAGGCGCTAAAGCACGAAATCAAACTCCAACTAATAATGAAAAATTATTAGATATTCTTAGAGTATCACATATTTTTGAAGTGTTACGTGTCCATACTCTGTTACCTCTTTGCCTTCTCTCCAGATCTTCTTCCCTGCCATCTCTAATCTAATCGGTTAGTCTCTCCATCTCCTTCTTAAAAAGCTTGGAGCTCTGCCACGTCGATGGTGCCGCCACTGCTCTGGTCCGGATCTAGATCCATAATGCTCTTCTAATCCAGATCCAGATTGCTCTTCAGTTCTAGATCTACCACCACTACCGATGAGGAGAAAGAGTGGGAGTTTAGATGTGGATGGGTCTGGGGAAGCGCTAGTGAGTATATGGACCACAAAGCGAAAAGTTGAGGGGTCTTCTTCTTCTTCTTCTTCACTAGCTTTTTCTATTTGATTTCAACATATAGGACCTCTCACTCTCTATATCTCTGTGTTTGTATAAAAATTCAACAAATTGAAACTGTCTTTTGTCTATCTCTCTTTCTTTTTTTTGGTTGTTGTGTAGTTTTTTTGTTGTTGTGTAGTTGTTGTTGTTGTTGATTGTTGATGTTGTTTATGATGATGATGATGATGAAAAAATTTGACCGATATGACATTTTTGTTCAAAATTTGAACAGATAATAAAATTTGAACAAATTTTTTTCAAAATTTGAACAGATAGTGGCTTGGTGTATTTCAATAACAAAGATTTGAACAAATAAAAAATCAACAAATAGAATTCAAAGGAAAAAATTAAATAGATAATAAAATTTAGATAGATAGATTTAAACAAATAAGTGAAAAAAAATAGATAACAAAATTTGGACAGATATTTGAATAGATTAGGGAAACAAATTGAACAGATAAAAAAATATTTGAACAGATAGTTAAAAAAATTAAACAGATAGATAAGGGGGTAAAATTAAAAATAAAATGTCCTTCTAAACAACAAAAAGACTTCTCACCAAACTATTTCCAGTAAATAGCCATTAGGTCATGATAGTTGGACTTAATTCCCAATAAATTTTATTGAAAATAAGTCTTAATAAAATTATCGCTAAAAATAATTTTTTGAAATGATTTTTTACATATGTCGCTAAAACTTGATAATTAGAATTTTTTTTGTCACAATTTTTATAAATTGTCTCTAAAACTTAATAAGTGATATTGTTTTATGATGAATTTTTCAAACTATTGCTGATAGTTGAAATTAGTGATTTTTAAAAAAAAAAACTGCCTCTAAAACTTATAATTAGTACCATTTTTTATGACAAAAATTTCAAACTATCGCTGAAATTAAAAATTAGTTTCCTTTTTTTTTTTTTTGTAATAATGTTTGATAAAAACACCATTAATTCTCACAAGAACTATTGGATAATAAGTTCACCTATTTGGACTTATAGTAAGTCTCCAACTATTTCACGAAAGGTGAATCTCTTACTAACAAAAAAAAAAAAAATATCTACTAAATCTAATGCCTTATACTTTCTTTAACTCAGACTTTTCAACCATTTTCTCTTTCTTTTTAAATATAAGGTAAATTATACTGACACCCCTTGAGGTTTGGTCCAATTGCATTCCACCCCCTGACGTTCTGAAAATTACATTCTCACACTTATGATTAATAGTCTCATTTCACAAATCATCTTACTTATATAAAAGACAACAATTCCTAACAGAAAAATAGAGAAAATTACATTAAAAAAAAAGTAAAGCAAAAAAAAAAAAGAAAAAGAAAAAAAGAAAAGAAACTTAAGTAACGTAAGAAAAAAGAGAGAATATGGATTCAATATTTTCATTTCGTCTAAATAATTACAATAGCAGGGGGTTAGTATAATTTTCCAAATATCAAAGATGATATGTATTAAACTCAAATCTCAAGGGGTGTAAGTATAATTTATCCTTAAATATAAGATGCATGGATACACACCTCTTGACGATGATGAAAAAATTTGACAGATATGACATATTTGTTCAAAATTTGAACATATAATAAAATTTGAACAAATGTTTTTTCAAAATTTGAATAGATAGTGGCTTGGTGTATTTCAATAATAAAGATTTGAACAAATAAAAAATCAACAAATAGAATTCAAAGGAAAAAATTAAATAGATAATAAAATTTAGATAGATAGATTTAAACAAATAAGTGAAAAAATTAAATAGATAACAAAATTTGGATAAATATTTGAATAGATTAGGGAAACAAATTGAACAGATAGTCAAAAAATTAAATAGATAAAAAAATATTTGAATAGATAGTTAAAAAAATTAAACAGATAGATAAGAGATAAAATTAAAAATAAAATGTCCTTCTAAACAATAAAAAGACTTCTCACCAAATTATTTCGGGTAAATAATCAATAGGTCCTGATAGTTGGACTTAATTCCCAATAAGTTTTATTGAAAATAAGTTTTAGTAAAATCATCGCTAAAAATAATTTTTTGAAATGTTTTTTTACATATGTCGCTAAAACTTGATAATTAGAGTTTTTTTTTTTTTTTTTGTCACAATTTTTATAAATTGTCTCTAAAACTTAATAAGTGATGTTGCTTTATGATGAAGTTTTTAAACTATTGCTGATAGTTGAAAATTAGTTATTTTTTTATAAAAAAAACTGCCTTTAAAACTTATAATTAGTACCATTTTTTATGACAAAAATTTCAAACTGTCGCTGAAATTAATAATTAGTGACTTTTTTTTTTTTTGTAATAATGTTTGATAAAAACACCATTAATTCTCACAAGAACTATTGGATAATAAGTTCACCTATTTGGACTTATAGTAAGTCTCCAACTATTTCACGAAAGGTGAATCTCTTACTAACAAAAAAAAAAAAAATATCTACTAAATCTAATGCCTTATACTATTCTTGGACTTTTTAGGGTTTGTTTGGCAAGAAAGTTTGGGTTGGGTTAGAGCTATTTTAGTTACAAAAAGATAAAATAGGCTTTTTAGCCCAACAAGAAAAAATGTTACATCCAAACCATAATCGTTTTATTTTTTCTCACACAAAAGTCAAAAAAATCAAAAATCCTATCTCAAACGAGATTTTTTAGTCCCAGACTTAGCCAAAAAGTCAACCCCTTCCTAAAAGAATGCTTATTAATTTTTTTTAAATAATAATTTTTAAGTAAAATAAGATTATTATTAATTATTTACATACTCTCATACATTAATTAGTTTAAATAAATGAACCCCAACTCAATATAAACCGCGGTTAAACTGATTAACACTACAACATATAAGAGTTTTAGAGATCAAATATTTTAGTTTTTAAAATTAAAAATTTTGTTGCAAAAGGTATTTAAGAACCAATTTCTATCGTCATGAGAATAGTTGCTAAAAGGTCATTCTGAAAAGTAAAAAATAAGATTTTTAGCTGTAAAATTTTGAAAATGTCACTAATAAATAGATTTTTAGGGACAAAATAATTTGGTTTCAAAATGGTTTATTTTTTGAGACAAAAAATTTGGTCACAAAAAGATAATAATTCATTACTAATGTCTAATTTTCGTTACTAAAAATATAATGATAACATTTTTCACTACAAAAATATTTGGTCGCTAAAAAATAATTTTATCCCTAAATTTTGATCTTTAAAACTTTAATTTTTTTTTTTTTATTATTTAAGAATTTCGAAGTATAGCCACGTGTTATTTTATAGTATTATGATTGATGGAGAAGGTGGGTAGGTGGAGTATTGTATTGGGTGCTTGAGAAATATAAAAGACATATCGAATGATGATTGATTAAGAAATACGGACACGTGATATTCTGGAAATATTTAATAATTTGAAATTCATACTATATATATATATATATATTATTTGTTTGGTGACTTCCATTAATAGAGAGTCATACTAGATAGAGAGTCATACTAGATCCTTGGATCTCTCTCTCTCTCTCTGCATCTGGCGATCTACAGCACAGAAACCCTTGAAGTTCTTCTGTTAGCCGCTCGAGTCCCTCTGTAAGTTTTCACAAGCTCGCTCTGTGTGTGTGTGTGTGTGTAAATATATATAGTAACATGATCTCTTTGTTTCTTGAAGCTGGTATATGTGATGAAACTGTACAGAATTCAATATGGGTCTTCTAAATGGCTACACTTACGTTGTCTTTCATCATCATGAACACGATCTCCATTCTCAACTTGAGTTTGCTCTGGTGATTGGGTTTTGGGTACACATAAGAGTGGTTTTGTCTTGCAGGCGTAATCGACATGATGGGTCTCCTAATTGGCTACACTTACTTTGTTTTTCTTCATCATCGTCACGATCTCCATCCTCCTCAACTTAGGTTTGCTCTCGTGATTGGGTTCTGGGCACAAATGCAGGAACAACTAGCAAAAAGTATATGGATATAGAATTAACATAACAATTACATTTCCAATATGGAACTCCCAGTTTCGAAGATTCTGAGCCTCAACCAAGGTTAACTGAACTTTCCTTGTTACAAAATGTTGTTATCTTAATTTTTTATCTTTTTATTTTTTCAAATGTATTATTTAGAAGCAGGGCTTAGGTTGTGAAGGTACTAGATTCCGTATAATCAATAGCTTGTTTTACCCTGAAGTTGGGTTATTCAATTGAACCATGGATTTAATTTTCCCAAGGTGATCACCAGGGGCCACGCTAGGAATAATTGAAGTGTATCACCTGAACCCCCCGAAAAAGTGGGAGAAAAAAAATTAGGTATAAATTATAATTTTACAAAGTGGTTAATGCTGTATTTGATTCAAGAATTTAGAAAGGTTTGAAAAGGGAAAGTGAAAATATGTGTGAAATCAAGTGAAATTACCTTTTTCATTTCCTTTTCCAAATCATTCCTCAAATCCTCCCATCATAGGTCCACTTTTTAAAATTAGAGTACAATTTTTTTTCCAAATCCCTCAAATTATTATTTTAATTTCCCAGTGACTCCAATTCCTCACTGAGAAAAGGGAATGAACCCCTCACTCATAGGCCCAGATTGAAGCAATTAGTCAACGAAGCATTACATATATAAGTGGGTGTTTGGGAAGTGAATTTTTTTTTTATAATGTTTTTTAGTTGTAAGATATTATTGGAGAAGTTTTTTTTTGTGTTGGGGAAGATAGTTGGGTTTTTTTGTGGTTGAATGTGATGTTTGTGAGAGAAAAAGTAAAATAATTATGGGATTTGATGCGATATTTTGTTTGGATTGATTTTTTTTTTTTTATTTTGTAAAACATTTGTCTTGTAGTGAAAAAAATCAAAAAAAAAACCCAAAAACCAACTTGTCAAACACCACCTAAGTCTCTATTGGGTGAATTTAACAAGGAATAAGAAATTATGCACAATAACAATAAGAAAATAATGTGTTGTTAACTTTTGCATCCACTTTGTATGCAAATTGCACCCTCAAAATAGCGTATATGGTGGATTCATCGGAACGTTTTTATAAAAATTTATACTGTAATATAAACCATAAAAATCGTAACTTTTTTTTATTACAAAAATTATATATTTTTTCACTATAAAAAGTCATAACAAAAATTACAAAGGAAAATGGTTGAAACCATTAATTAGTGGTAACACTAATGATGTGGCAGTGGATCCCACCCACTGTCACAATGTTGTTGTACATTTTTTTTTTGAAGTGTGTGCCAACTCACTATTGATACTTTAAAGCACCATTTTTAATAATATGCATCATTGCCGTTTACTATTAATAATTTTACTACAAAATATCACAACACAAAATAAATAATCCTAACTTTCGTTAAAAATAAAAAATAAAAAAAATTGTATGATGTACACTATTGTAAATGAAGCTTTTTATTAATCAATTTTTCACGCTTATCAAAGCGTTCACCATTTCATACTAAAAGTTATTATGCAATGAATTTAAAATATGAAAACTCTCACTACAAAAAAAATTGTTTTTTTGCAACAGTAAAACGTCGTTGTACATAACCCAAACGTTGTCTCAAAATGTTTTTTGCGACGGTAAGTGACTTTTTACGACGGCAAGTAGGAGGTCGCAACAAAGGGGGTTGCAAAAGGGTTTTAGCGACGGCATGACGCCGTCGCCTTTTTTTTGCGACGGCCAAAATGCCTTTTTTGCGACGGAAAAATTTTGTCACAAATAATGCGTGAAAATCTGATTTTTTTTGAGACGGTACTGTGTTGCCGTCGCTAAAAGGGGTTTTTGCGACGACAAAAAATATTGTCGCTAAAAGTTTATTTGAGACAGCACCTGAGCCGTCGCTAAAAGACTATTGGCGACGACAATAACACCGTCGCTAAAGGCTGGCCTTATCAACCAATTCCCTATCTTTTGCGACAGTAAAGGTGTCGTCGCAAAAAACCCTAGTTCAATTTTCTTTTTGAGACGGTGTGTGCTGCTGTCTCAAAAAAAAAAAAAAAAAAAAAACTGTATTAAAATTATTAAAAATATGAAAATAACCTGTATTAAATGAAAAATAACTAAAAAAAAATCAATAATTACATAATAATATAAATACATGCATAAACAAAAGTTAGCACATAATGAAAATTCATAATGTTGTTCCATTCATAACAATACATAAATAGAAATTCATAACAATAAAAATTATCCCACTACATAATGTCGCATAATACATACATAATGTTGTTCACAAATCTAAATAACGTAAATCAAAACCAAAAGTTTTCGTCTTGATTCTTCCGTGGGTTACAAAAACAAAATTATAATCTTTACATGCCCGCATTCTACAAGAAGCAAACTGCTACTCAGGAAATATCTAAAAATAACAAAATAAAAATAATTAATGACAATATAATGGTGTTAATATTTTAATTACAGAAAAATATAAAAAATTAACTACTATATAATTACAAAGATGAACAGAATAAGATGCAATGATCTGATGGTCATACAAATATGAAAACAGATTTCTATTAAACACCATAGACAAGGTATTCCGTTTATTTATTCCAACTCAAGAACTGTAATGAGATAATCATCATAAAATACATATGAATACAGACATGTAAATTTATTGTAAACCATTCTGAACTCCAAATAATAATTTCAATAGCTTAAGTAGCCTATAAGAATAGTGTAGTTTCTCAAAATTATTTGTTCATAATAGAAAAAGAAAAATGGCAAACTTACTTCCATGCGATATCCTGCTCTCAATGCACACAATGAATGAAAAGAAGTGGCACACTTGTAACACTGAGTGCAAGAACCGTGAGTCTGCTTGCAAATAACACATGGCTGCAGTTCAAACAAATGTATCACGTTTAGAATAGAAGGTGTAGACACCCCATTTTTGACCGTCCTCAAGACTTGGACGTCACCGTTTGAACACTCGGTGATCATCCTCGTTTGTGTTCGTCCTGAGTTCCCGGAGGCCTCGGCTACGCGCTTTGCCTCAGGATCTCTCGGCTCGACTGTTTTGTGTCTGGTTTTGCACCAAACACTTGTGTTTTTGCTTTGGAGGGCAGGGAATGACTTTTGGGCCATCCCCACACTCCACCGGCCATGGCTTGAGGCCACCGGCTGTGTTTTGTTGCCATCGGCCAAATAATTGGCCGACCGGCACTCTAGATGGTCGACCGGCCATCTATTTTGGTCGAATTGCATTTTTGGCTGGCCGATCACTGTTCATCTGCTTTTGCAGATATTTTTATGCCAGCTGTGATAGCTGGCACCCACCTTTGCTCCCCTCCATACACGTGTATGGAGGGATTTCAACCTTGTTAGCTTGCCTTGGAAGCTTTACAAGGTTGAATCTTCTATAAAGAGGGGCCTCTTCTCCCTCTTTTAGGTTGGACAATATTTTCAGAGGGTTCTAGTTTTAGGGTTTGAGTTGTGTATCTATCTTATATCTATATCTCCCTCTCTTTTGTGTTTTGTGTGTGTTTAGTCTCATTTTTGCACACAAACACCTAGTCTTACACCTTTTCTTGGTTGCTGAGGGGCCAGAGGTCTATTCTTGGTGTTCTTGGGTAGTTTTGAGCTCAAAGGAGCAGCTGGTCCACCATTTGTGAAGAGGGTCATCAAGGGTAAGAACTTCACCCTTTATTTCCCATTCTTGCATAGTCTTTTTGCCTATCTTGCAACTGTTTTTGAGCTTAACATATAACATAGAAAACTCTTGTTTTTATCTGCCCTAAATAGTTTCTTAAGGGTGTTTTAAGCTTTGGGATTGTTTGACCCCTCTTAAGGCTTGTTTGACCCTTGTTTTGTGCTATTTCGATTGAGCTTCGGGACCATTGTGTTTGGGCCTCCTCACCACTGAAATCTTGAGGGATTTCAGTGATGAGGATGGTGCCTTAAGGTCCTAAGAAGGAGAGGGCCACCCCCTCTCCTTGTTGTCCTTGAAAAGGGCTATTTTTGCCTCTTTAGTGAGCATCATGTTTAGGTTCATGTTGGCCATGCCTTGACTGATATTTATGCTTATTATGTCATGATATAGCTCTATTTTTAGTTGGTTTTGGTACACCATGCTTGCTTAGCATACATGCCTTGTAATGCCATGATTTGCCTCAATACATGCATAGAATTTAGACTACCATGCTCATGTATTTTGGCTAAGCTTTGTGAAGCTTACATGCATATTTTGATGTGCTAAAGGACTGTTTTAGGTTATTTGAGTCATTCATGTCTTGCTTTGTATAGCTACCATGCAATCCCTCTTGAATGCCTTAAACTTTGGCCTCTCTAGTATGCCATCCTTGCTTTGTTTTAGTGGTTTGGAATCACTTGGTATGTTATTTCAGACCTCATGATGTGCTTATATGCTTGCATTTTCCATCCCTTTCATGCTTTGAAGAGTTGATGGCTTATGCTCCATGTTTAGGCGCTTGTTGATGCATATTTGTGTGTGTGTTTTCATGCCTTTGTTGCATCATTTTGGCCACTAATTTTGGCATGTTTGAGGGCTGCCTAAATTAGTTTAAGTCCACCCCTTTGCATGTTGTGGCATGCTCACCTTGTGTGTTGTTGCATACTAGTGTGTTGTTGCATGATTGAATGAAGTCACATGTTTGCTTGTATGCTTGAACATCCATATTGTGTCTTGCATACTTGTAGGTTGCATTGCTTCATGTCTTACATGCTTCTTTGCTTAGGCTGTGTGCCTAACCTACATTACACATTGCATTGCCATGTTACATACTAGCCTCCATACCTAGGATGCATTGCATTGGCATGCATGCTTCACCTCTTGAGTTGAGTATGATAGAGGTTGAGCCCCCTTTGCTTGATTATGTGCATTGCATTCCATATCAAAATGCATATTTAATTCCTTGGGCCATCATGCATGGAAATACGCGATTGACGGTCCGAGAATAAAGAATCATATCCCTTTGAGTCATGAATATGATAAGGGGTGTAATTGGTGCATACATTGCTTGAAATGCATTGCCATGCTATGTTTTGCCCTCTGCTGCTGTCAAAAACAGATTCTACAGGAAGATTTGGCCGACCGGCCATATGCAGTGCCGACCGGCCATTCATAAGTGGCCGATGGATTAATTTGTGGCTGGTGACCATTCCCCATGGCCGGTGATTATTCCTCACGGCCGGTGGTGCTCCACAGCACTCAAAGAAGCAACCCTGGGACTTGTGCAGTCTTCAGAGAAGCAGAATAGTCAAAGCAGAGGCAGCTTGTGCATGGCAGTAACTTCTGAGCGAAATCGAGCACGCATCGCATCGGACCCTCTTCCCGAGGCTGTTTATTGCTTAAATTAGATTAATTAATTTGCTTAATTAATTAGGTGGTCTGTAATATTTAATTAGCTTGTTAGTTAGTTAAATTGTATTATTCTTTCGGTCCCTCCGAGTGAGGGCTAACTTGTAATAAGTGTGGGTGCGTATGTGCATGTCTTCCAATCTCCCACTTCTTTCTCCCTTTTACTTACCTACTTTTGATGGTTAGTATTAGGGCATATTTAAATTAGCATACCTTATGCTATGCATGCGTGCATCCATACATTTGTCCTACATGCACCGGGCTCGGTACATCATACTAACTGCACTTGTATTTCAATTCCAAGTTGAATACCTGTTAGTTGCAGCATTTCACATGCCATCTTTAGGATAGTCGAGCCTATTATAGTTGCATCTTGCATGTGTTGCATTAGCCATCTCAATATGAACTAGGATCATGCACATGATTACTAACTACCTTCTGTTCTGGCTTGGAGTACTCGGTAAGCATTTATGCTTTAGCATACCGCATGCGTGTGAGTGTTGCCATAATAGCATGATTACCATGAGGCTAGCTGCTTATGTGATATAACTGCTTGAACGCCTGTGGATGGAGGTTGAATTAACTAAATTGGGATAACGCATTAAAACTGTGAGTTTTAAGCCCACTAGATAGTGGCAAAATCATCTTTTCTAAAGCCCACTTGTGGGTGGCGAAATCTACATTTTTAGCCTACTTGCGAGTAGCAAACCATTTTCAAAACAAGCATGAAATGTTTTGTTCCAATTTAGGCGATTTGGTCTATACTTGTTTGCTGTGGGCATAACATAGTAATTCTAGGCTAATAACCGGAATAAGAACACATAACGTTTTCAAAAACGGATATCACGGTTAGTAGAGGCCGATCTTCGGATCGGGCGAGAGGGGGTGCTCATAGCTGACCTTCCCCAATCGTACCCAAGCTCCCGAGCCGAGGCAACTTTGGTGATGACGGACACGTGGCCTTTGGCACCGAGTCAAGGTTTCCTAAATTCCCCCATAAAAAATATTTAGGTGGCGACTCTGTATCTGGCAAAGCAGTCCATGTTTGGCACTTTTTTTCTAAAAATCTGTTTTCACAAAACGATTTGCCGGATTTGGACTCTTTGGTTCAGATTAAGAACCGTGACAATTCAAGAGTCCGAACTGTAGTGAGCCCAATATGAACAGAACGGGGGACTCATCCTCCCGGGGCGTTCGGGGACGTCTATAGAAGGTTAGAAACATGAGGGCATATCACCAGATGTATTTCACAGTTTTTTTTTTCAGCCTCCTATGTAGATTCACACAACAAACACTGTACATGCAGGAGCGCCATCATATTCAAAAAAATAATAGTGGGTCCATTTCTTTTCTAAATATGGTGGATCCTAGATGTACAATTACCATTTTTTGTGTGGATTCATGTAGAGGAGGTGAAAAAACCAAAGACATAACATTAATGGCAACTTGTTCCACTAAATAACAATTATACATTTATCATCTAACAGATACTCTAAAATCAGAAGCATATACACTTCCAAGAAGTTGGAGTGCCTGTCAAACACTAACACTCGTCAAACACTCTGTGTCCTACTATTTTTTTCAAAAAATTGACCCAGGCACACTTTGGACACCTAGGTGGACACACACATAATAAAGTAACCCCCCACCAATTGACCCAGGCAGACTTTGGACACCTAGGACACACACATAATAAGTTTGAAAAAATAAATTTGGATACAACATAAATTTATACATATTAATCCCTCATACTTTAAACCTAAAAAATTAATGCTTATCATCTTTGAATGAAAATCATATATATGAAAATTAATACAAATATATCTTTTGCATGTGTCCCTCACATGCCATGTCTTCTATTTTTTCAAAATAATCATGCTAGTGCGTCCATGCCCAAGTAACTAATTCGGCAAAGATCGAGAGCACCATGAGAGCATCTATATTATATAATTTTATATATCATATTATTTTTAAAAAAATAATTTATTTAAGTATTGTTATATTTTAATATAATTAAGATTATATTAGTAATTATTTGCATACTTTTTGAGTCATATAATTTTTATACTAAATATCTAGATGCTTTTACTAGCTGATTCAGTACTTAATGTTTTGTAAGTTCAACAATATCAAGATACTTAATCAAATAACAAAAAATGAGTCAAGTGGTGCAGTAGAAGCTTCTCTTAATTCATAAAAGTGACAGGTTCAAATTCAAATCCTTCAAAAAGCGTTGTTGTTTTATTATTATACACGGAGACACAACGAGCCAGCAAGGTGATGGAGGATACTAGGTGAGCATGGTACACTAGTAGTTTATGTGTTATTCAATTATTGGCTAATCCATGAGTGGCTGGGGGAATTTTCAAACTGAAATTAATTGATCCACAGATTAATCATGGATTAAAACTCAATATGTCGATTTGCATTCTAGTTCATGATTCACATCCAAACTATTTCAAACCCACTAAAACCACATGTTTTCCTGGTATAAGAAGCACAGACACTTTAACATCGTAACTTTTTTGGAAAAAAAGGACACCACGCGGATAAATAATTTTATATATTTTTTTTGTCATATTTATGAATAATAATTCATTCAAAGATAATAAAAAAAATAAAAAAAAATCTAATAACTGTATAACACTAAATTATATTCCAATCTTGAAGCACTGCTGACAAAATTTTATCATTGTAGTGTCGGCTGCATCACTGTGTCAGTTAGAAACACCATTTCTACAATGATTTTAAATAAGACTCGTACCTTTACAAAAGAATGTGATGGAATTCTAAGAAGTCCAACTGCAGGCTCCATCTTCTCAGCATCTACAAAAGCAACTTCAGGCCAGAACCAAGCACATGTGACATGGACCCACAGGGAGTCAACATCAGTTGGCTTCAAAGCTCTCCCTACAGAAGCAGCATTCAAATCTATAAGAATCAAAAAACAGAAAATGAAACTGGGTATTTAACGCATAAATAAGGATATCAATGGGACTGCCTTTAACAGGGCAGAGACAACACTCCTTCTCAACATTAGGAGTTTCGCATGCTCTGCAAACCCATGATGTAAAATCCTGAACATTGTTTGCTCCATAGCACTCTTGATGGACTGCTATTTGACACCTGAACTCAACAAGTTAAAAATAAAATTGACTCAGATGATTCTACTAGAGTTCCTAAATCAGGTGCTATCTCATCTCGGCAAATAAATTGTAATTCAAATGCATAAAATGTGATGATTAAGCATAAAGATTCATGAAGAATAGTAACACCTGTTGCAAATAACAATTTTATTATAGTCCCAATCCTCAACCCATCTGCATACACAGATTCAACACAACTAAGAACAAATTTCTTAACATACATACATACATACATACATACACAGATTCAACAAAAATTCTTAAGAACAAATTCAAACAAATTTCTTAACATACATACATATATACATACACAAATTTCTTAAGAACAAATTCAACAAAATCAACATGAATCTGATTAACATACATACACAGATTCAACAAATTCCTTAAGAACAAACACACAGAGAGTGATCGGTGCAGAATAAAATAAACAGAACAGATCAAATTCCAAAACAAAACAAACACACAGATTCCAAAACAAACAGAACAGATCTGTTGGTCTAAAACAAACAAACAGAACAGATCTGTTCGATCAGTGCAGAGATGAGAGATCAGGGAGAGAGAGAGAGAGAGAGAGAGGCTTACCTGTGAGTCGATCGGTGCAGAAATGCAAAACCAGAGAGTGAGACTGGTGAGATGAGAGAGTGAGGGAGACAGATCAGATCAAAGAGATATTTGATATATATATCCGAGTGGGCGGGATTGGGAAAAAAAATATATATTTAAATAATAATAATTTTCATCATAAATGAATATTTAAATAATAAAAAATAATAATAATAATTTTCATTTTCATCATAAATGAATATTAAATGAATGAAAAATTATTATTATTATTTTTTATTTGGTAGAAATAAGGATAATATTTTAATGAAAAATATTTTCTATTAAGAGTGATGAGTGAGAGAGGGAGACGGAGAGAGAGAGAGAGAAACAAACAGACAAAGAGAGAAAGAGATAGAGACAGAGACAGAAAAAGAGAGAGAAACAAGAGATAAGCGATACAAAAAGAGAGAGAAAGAGCGAAAAAATATGAACGAGAGAGAGAATAGAAAAATAGAAAGATAGAGAGTAGAGAGATGAGCGAGAGAGAGACAAAGAGAGAGAAAAAAGAGAAATGAGCGAGAGAGACAGAGAGAGAAAAGAGATGAGAGAGATAGAGAGAAGAGAGATGAGCGAGAGAGACAGAGAGAGAAGACAAATTGGAGGGATAGAGAGAAGAAAGATGAACGAAAGACACACAGATAGATAGACAAATAGACAGAGAAATAAGAGTGATGAGTGAAAGAGAGAAATAGAAGAATGGTGGCAGTTGAATGGCATTTGCAGTAGTGGTAAATGTGGTAGAGAATATGGGTGGTGAGAGAGAGAGATGAGTGAGAGACGAATAGAGAAAAGAGATAGAGAGACAGAGACAGAGTGATGAGCGAGAAAGAGACAAAGTGGTCGCTAAAAGTGCATTTTCTTGTAGTGGATCGATAAATCGAAAGGGAGCTCAATAAATAAAGAAGAGATGAGGGAGAGAGTGAGCAAGGCGAACACAGTGGGGGAGAGAGACAGACAGACAGGCAAGCAGAAAGAGAGAAGAGTGATAAGTGAGAGAGAGAGAGAGAGACGGAGAGAGAGAGATAGACAGAAAAAGAGAGAGAAACAAGAGATGAGTAAGAGATAAACTAAAAGATAGAGAAACAAAGTGAAAAGAGATTAACGAGAGAGACATAGAAAAAAAAAAGAGACAGAGAGAGTGGTAGTGGTAGTGGTCATAGTTCCACCCATTGATTTAAGTATGGTGTTTGTTTTAAGCTTTCAAATCATAATTCTACATCCATTTTTCAAAACTCAATTCAAAATATAATCATTACTTTTCGAAACTCATAATCAAACACATAATTCAAAACTCTTTTCAAAGCTTAATTCAAATCAATTTTTTAAATATTTTAAATATTTTTATATTTTAAAAATATTTTAATTTTGTGAGAGACAGATAAAGAAGAGAGATAGAGAGAGACAGAGATAGAGTGATGAGCAAGAGAGAGAGACAAAGTGGTTGCTAAAAGTGTATTTTCTTATAGTGGATCGATAAATCGAGAAAGAGCTCGATAAATAGAGAAGGTGAGAGTAAGAGAGTGAGCAAGGCGAACATAGTGAGGGATAAATAAACAAATAGACAAGTAGACAGAAAGAGAGAGAGAAAAGTGATGAGTGGGAGAGAGACAGGGAGAGAGAGAGCTAGACAGAAAAAGAGATAGAGAGAGAGAGATAGACATAAAAAGAGATAGAGAGAGAAAGAGAAAGAGAGAGATTGAAGGAGAGATAGAAATAAAGAGAGAAACAAGAGATAAGCGAGAGATAGACAAAAAAAGAGAGAAATAGAGCGAAAAGAGATGAGCGAGAGAGGGAGAGAGAGAGAAAAGAAATGAGAGAGATAGAGAGATGAAAGATGAGCGAGAGAAACAAAGAGAGAAAACAGATGAGAGAGATAGAGAGAAGAAAGATAGGCGAGAGACACAGAGAGAAAATGAGAGAGAGAAACAGACAGACAAAGAAAGAAGAGTGATGAGTGAAAGAGATAAAAAGAAGAGAGAGAGAGATAGAGACAGAAAGACAGAGAGACAGGAAGATGAAAAAATGAATGAAAAGAGAAATGTTATATCAAAAAAGTAAGACGACATTGTTTTTTTTTTTTTTTTTTTGCGATAGAAAAATACCGTCGAATTTATTCAAACCATTTTGTGACTGTATATATATGAAGCTATCTCAAAACCACAATCACTATGCTAGGTTAGAGTTTTCAAAAAACTCTTTTGAGAAAATTATACTTTCTTGTTTTCCGTGTTATATTGTTTTTACTGAATTTTTTTAATATTTTAAGTATTTTTTTTTAATTTTTAGACACATCTAACATAAATACACCTAAAAATTAAAAAAGTCGTAAAAAAAATCTTTTAAAAATTCATTAAATACCAAAAATAATTATTAAAGAAAATACAATAATTCAATACATTTTTTTTTGTATTTTTATGTATTTATTCATTTTTAAAAATATTTTTTCATTATTTTTTTATTTTTTAAATACATCTAAGTAAGGTGCATCTTAAAAAAATATTTAAAATTTTAAAAATATTCACTAAAAGCAAAAACAAAAACACGAAAGTCACTTTTTGCGACGGCAGAAAATGCCGTATCAAAAAAGTAGAGTATTTGCGACGGCACCATTTGCCGTCTCAAAAAAGCAGAGCATTTGCGACGGCACTATTTGCCGTCTCAAAAAATGAGAGTATTTGCGACGGAAATTTTAAAAATATTCACTAAAAGCAAAAACAAAAACACGAAAGTCACTTTTTGCGACGGCATTGCCGTCGCAAATACTCTCATTTTTTGAGACGGCAAATAGTGCCGTCGCAAATGCTCTGCTTTTTTGAGACGGCAAATGGTGCCGTCGCAAATACTCTGCTTTTTTGAGACGGCAAGTGTGCCGTCACAAATAGTTCTGTCTCATAAACCCACTTTTCTTGTAGTGAAATACTCTCATTTTTTGAGACGGCAAATAGTGCCGTCGCAAATGCTCTGCTTTTTTGAGACGGCAAATGGTGCCGTCGCAAATACTCTGCTTTTTTGAGACGGCAAGTGTGCCGTCGCAAATAGTTCCGTCTCATAAACCCACTTTTCTTGTAGTGACTTTGTGCCGCACGCCAGGCCACACTTGCGGCATGCAAGCCGCACCACTTCGTGCACCTGTATTTAAAGCAAAAGCCAATTTATGGACTAGAGTTTTTGCCGCACATGGTTGTTCCGTACGTGCGGGATTTTTTTTTTTTTTTCCAACCCAACTTATACCAAATACAACATTTTTTTATTTTTTATTTTTATAACTATATAAAAGTATATATAAATATATTTTTACAAGATTAAAGAAAAGTAAAAAAACAAGTACAACCCAAAGAATACTTAACCATTTCTACCTTCATTTGACATCCGAAATAAACATAGCACTTTAGAAAATATCGAAATGCCTAACAAGGGTATAATCTTCACGCAAAAAACACGGGTACTACTTTTCTCCCTAATAGTGTGTGCAACTTTCCCTATTTTCCAACATGGTGACAGACTAGGTTGATTCGATATCCAGAATCGAAGCGCATAAAGCTACCTCGACCTATGGGGCTGTCATACAGAGTTCAAGCCGGGGTAGTTTTGAAGCAATCTCCACACCCTTGGGTATTTAAACCAGACTCTAGTCTCGAAAATTCTAAACCTTTGTGTTCTAGGCTTTGCCATTCGAACTCTAGTTTCCACCGTCTCAGTTGGTCTCCTAGGAACTCACTACAAACACAGTTAGGTGGCTATACCAGACCGTCAGATGCCGTTCGAGCACGGCTAACACCAAAGGAATTACACGTTTAGAGGATTTAAAGTCTCCTAGATGCAAATAAAGCACAACAAAAACAAAGAAAAACTGAATAGAATAGAAGGGAAAGAAAAGAGAACAATAAATTAATCTATCAATCATAGTAAAAAGGGTCCATCAAAGCAATGAACTCAATCATTTCTGCATTCCCAATCTCCTCTATATATGGCTTCAATCTTTGGCCATTCACTTTGAAAGTGTGGCTAGTCTTTGGATCTTGCACCTCAACGGCGCCATGAATAAATGCCTCAACAACCACAAATGGACCATCCCATCTTGATCTAAGCTTACCCGGAAAGAGTCGCAATTTTGAGTTAAAAAGCCACACTTTTTGGCTGAGTTCAAAGGATTTTCTATTATGTGCTTGTCATGGAATTCTTTAGTTCGAGCTTTAAAAATTCTCGAACTCTCATATGCATCATCCCGGATTTCCTCCAACTCATTGAGTTGCAATTTCCGGTTGAGCCCAGCAGCGGTCATATCAAAGTTAAACTTCTTTATAGCCCACAATGCTCGGTGCTCAAGTTCAACAGGGAAATGGTAAGCTTTGCCAAACACCACCCTGTATGGTGACATCCCAATGGGTGTCTTATAAGCAGTGCGGTAGGCCCATAATGCATCAATCAACCGTTGTGACCAATCTTTCCTATCTGGCCTCATTGTTTTCTCTATTATATGCTTTACCTCCCTATTTGAGACTTCTACTTGGCCACTAGTTTAAGGGTGGTATGGAGTGCCAACTTTATGAGTGATAGAATATTTCTTAAC